ACTAACTTGTGTGTTAATGAAACGTGACAAAAGCAAGATTTTGCGTCCGGGAAAACCCATAATAACATAAAAATAAACTCAACTCCAAACCCTAATCACTCCCTTCCCATAATCCTTTGCTCGGGGCTTCTTCAGTAGTTAATTATCTTCTCCCCACCTCTCCTCTGAGTTGCTTTTGTTGTTGTTTTTTTGTATCTTTTTTTTTTGCAGTCGAAGAGACCAAGCACATGGCAACCTGGCATGGGGTAGCCACTCCATTAAAATACTATGCCGTCTGGTTGCCAAACACTTGAGCCTCTGTTTAGCCACTGAAACAGTGGAAAGTGTCAACACTGAGAGCGAGGACCCCACACTCAACTTATTAGCGCTATTAGCCTGATTGCTTTGTGCGCTATCTTTGTTGGCTCCACTTTTGTCATCCAGTGCGAGGCTGAGGCAGAGAAAGAGGAAGCGGGGCAGGAAAAAAAGGAAAGCGGGAGGAGAGATGCTATTCAAATTCAAATCGTCCGAGCAGTCTTTTTTGCCTTTGTGCGAGGCCAGAGGGCGATGATTAGGAGAAGTCCCCTCCATTTTATAGCCAGACCTCCCCTTCAGCATCCCCACACCCCCACTCCCCCTGTGTGCACGCACACACACACAACACATAGACACACACACACGCACACACACACACACACAGTCACGGTAATTGGTTGCTGCAACATGGACAAGCCAAGGAGTTGATTCCTCTGTGGAATTCCTGAAGGGACTCGCCTCCCATGACAACAACCCCCCCACCCCCCATTAGCACAAATACACACACAGACACACACACATACTTCATCCTACTACTGCAGTCAGTCATCACACAATGGCTGTCACAAAAGAGGTGTGTCCTGCCTGTATGCTAACAGGGAATGCTGCTGAAGCTTCATGAGTAAGTTGTCTTTACCTCTCTGTCGTTTTCTCTTATTTATTTATTAAATATCGTTTTTTCATCACTGGAAACGTCAAATTAAATTAAATCTTTGCTCTATGAATACGTGGCTGCGACCTTGCCCTCGGTTACCTTCCCTTCATCAAGGGATATCTCAAGGCTGAATACCTTTTTTGTGCATTGGGGGGGGGGGGGGTTGAACGTCTGTCTGCTTATCCCACCTTGTCTCCGGAGGCAATGTCTGTCAAGCATCTCTTACCTGTCGACACTTTTGTGATAAATAAACAAAAAACAAACAGCTTTTTTTTTCTTTTTGCTGTGAGATGCTTTTAGAGAGCAGAGCTGAGCAAAGTGGTTGAAATGGAAAAAGAAAGGGCTTTGATCGCAGCAAGGAGGATGCAAGCTAGCGAAGCTGAGCCAATACATAGGCCTATGTGTGTGTGTGTGTGTGTGTGTGTGTGTGTGTGTGTGCGTGTGTGTGTGTGT